CCCGTCACCCCCAGCCAGGCGCCGCAGGTTGGTGATGTGGTCCCCCAGTGCCTTGATGGCCTTCACCTGCTCGTCCAGGTAGTGGGACTCGAGGAAGTCGCAGAGCTGCAGAGAGAGGGACATCAATCAGCCAGGGCCAGGGGAGCTCTGCAGGGAGGGGACAGAGGTCTGGGAGAGACCTCAGGAAGGACAGGGACCTGCAGGGGCAGCTGGAGATCCCAAGGGAGGGACAGGGGTAAGGCCAGCAAGTCCAGACCCTGGAAGGGCAGGGGACCGGAGCACAGACCCTGGAGGGGCAGGGGACCGGGGCAGAGACCCTGGAGGGGCAGGGGCAGACCCCAAAGGATGAGTGTGGGAAGAGGAACGGGGACCCCCCAGCAGTGTCTCAACAGGCAAACCCTGCAGGGGGGTGGAGGGCAACTCACGTGGGGGTCCCCCTTCTCGGCAGCCAGGTGGTGCAGGTCCAGCAGTGCCTGGTTCACCGACTTCTCCAGCTGCAGCGCCGCCTCCACCGCCTCCAGCGCCGAGCCCCAAGCGTCACGCTCTGGCTTCTGGGGAGGGGGACAGGGACAATCACCCCGTGGACAGTCACAGCCCCCGTGCAGCCCAGGCACACCAATGCAGATGTGTCCCCCATTCAGCCCAGGCACCCCCAGGCAGGTGTGCCCCCCATGCAGCCCAGGCACCCCAATACAGCCCAGGCACCCTGATGCAGCCTGAGCCCCCCCAAACGCAGCCCAGGCACCCCACCTTGATGTCGTGCAGCAGCACACGGCCGCCACGGCGCGTCTGGAAGCGCAGCAGCCCCTCAGCGTGCTCCCGCTCCTCGTGCGACTGGTGCAGGAAGAAGCGTCCCAGGCGGGGCAGCGCCACGTCGTCCCGCTCAAAGTAGAATGCCTGCAGGACAGGGGAGGTCAGGGCAAGCACCTCTGGGGAGCCCCCCGACCCACCCTTCTGACTCCCCAGCTCCCGCAGGGACCCTCCAGCCTCACCTCCACCTATGAGACCCCCCCGAGCCCTCCCTGCCACCCTCTCCTTATCTTGCCCTCGCAGGTGGCACTGCCCCCACCAAAACGGGTGCCGACCAGCTCAGGGCAGGATAACCCCGGGGCCAGGGGGGTCCCAGGGCCGGGGGGGGGTCCCTCGGCCGCCGGGACCCTACCATGGAGAGGTAGACATAGGAGGCGTGGAGCTCCATGTTGGCCATGCGGTTGACGGCGGCCTCGCAGTCGCGGTGGTAGTTCTGGCGGATCTGGGAGTCCATGGCGTGCAGACGCAGCGGCAGATGGATGGCCAGACAGACGGATGCAGCGGCAGGATGGACGGACGGCGGGGTGGGAGCGGGCCGGTTCCGTTCAAGCACTGTTGAAGCGAGAACGCGGCTCTGCCTGCACAAAGCCCCGCGGGAGGTTTATATCCCGCTGCCGGTGGGCGGGGAAAGGGGACCCAGGCACCCGGGCCCGGCCCTCCCCAGCTGAGGAC